GCAGGCGGGCAGGCTGCAGGACAGAGCTCTCTGCAGCCTCCTGAAGAGGGGACGTGTGGAGGGCGGTGCTGATCTCCCTGGGAGCCAGGGCAGGCTCACACTTGATGTGAGGAAGAGGGGCTTCAAACACTGGCACAAGCTTCCCGGTGTGCCAAGGCTGTGCGTGCTGGAGAGCCGTATGGACAATGCCAGTAAGGACTGTGTCCTTAAGGACGAGCTTGAACTTCTGGCCGGCGCTGAATTGGTCAGGCAGCTGCACTACAGGATTGCTGTAGGCCCCTTTCAACTGAGCTCTGCTCTGCTCTGCTCTGCTCTTCCATGGCCCCTGCTGGGGGCTGCCCCTCGAAAACCCCTGGCACCTCAAACCAGCCCCCCCAGCTGGTTTAAACACTCGTGTCATGGACAACAGTGTGGATTTTCCACAGCTCCCTCGGGGTTCTGAGCACAACTTGTGGCCTGTGGGAAATTCTGCTGACCTTGGTCTTCAGGCCCAGGTTGATCAGACACAAACCTGCAGAAATAAGCATTCAAGAATTGTTTGGGTAAGAATGCAATTAGAAACCTGCTTTTTTATCATTCACTTGTACAAGTTTCTCAATGATTTTATACATGGCAAACTCCTTCCCAGAGTGAGCCGTGCCAGTTTGGGATTGCAAGGTGCACAAAGGACTGCAAAAGCCTTCTTCGACATGAGGCTGCTTAGGGCTGTCTGACATACCTTCCTTACTTTAGGAGCTGATGAAGTGGGAGAGAAACCCCCACATCTCCTCTTACATGAGCTCCTCGCCTGCAAACATGGGGACTGTTCTGGACATGGCCTTAGACTCTGATTTTCTGAGTTCTCTGTTGTCATGGCTTTTCTTTCAGATGCAGATGTTGTGCGTTCGTGTTCCTGCAAAATCAGTAATACAAGGTCAGGATCTTCAGCAGGCATCATTTTGGAGAGAAGTTAGAAACAAAACCCCAAGGACTTTGTAATTGTTCCACAATCTGGAAGAGGGTTTTGAAATCTGAACCCCCAACCTATCCCATAGTCTCAGCTCAGAAAATCCTCTTGCCCGTGTACAGAGGTCACATACTTCATTATTAACATGCTAAATTGTCAGACAGCAGCAGAGAGGCAATGACAACTACACGTGTCAGCATCTGCCCACGCAGCAGGCACCCAAACTTACTGATTTCTTTGGGAACTTGCGTTTTGCCAGGATGCTGGAAAAGTCCAGGTTTGCAGGCAGGGGTTTAATCGGCCAAGCCGGATCTAACACGTTCACTCTGATGTCAAGTACAAGCAGTTTCTTTGCAGGAAAAAGACCGTTCCATGTAGAACGTAACTTAAATAAACGCCTCTTAGTAGCTGCATCCACCTAAAACAATCAGACAATTGTAGGGCTTGTGAAGGGAATAGAAAACAATTTCTTGATGTTTTCTGTCAAGCTAAAGATTTCATCTCTTTCCTACCTCTAGGAACAGTTTGCCATGTTACCACCTTGCTCTACAGAACTTGTAAGCAGAGCAGCTCATGCATCTATACCCATGGACTGAGGAAAAGAAGCTCAAATGTGCAATTGGTGTTTCAAGGCGATTTGAAGGTTTTATTGCACAGATTCCATTCTCTGAAAACTTTCTTACACCTGTTTCCCTAGCAAAGGTCTCATTTTCCTTGCCCAATTTCTGTGGGAAAAAATTACAGGAAGATAACTATCGGAAGCCACCAGGGAAGGCGGCTTCACAACTGCTCTGGGCACCCCATCCCAGTGCTCAGTCACCCTCTCAGTACGTGAGCGCTTCCCCAAATTCAGGTGGGCCTTCCTGCCTTTGAGTTTATGCCCATCACCTCTCATTAAAACATTAAAGACATGGCAGCAGAATAAGAAAACCCCAAATGTATGTCCTACCAGGAACAAATGCTGCCGAGATCACAGAACTTTTCTGAAAGAGTGCATACCTGTTCAAACACGCGAGGAAATATTAAAGTTAGGTTTCCAGCAAATGCAGGCACATATTCTCCTCCCACATTCTTTATAATGGAGTCCATCAGGTACAGGAATGGCAGTTTCTGTGATGGAGGAGCCTGGAGTAATGAGAAGAAACTGACATGGGGCTTCAATCGGGAGGCATGCTGCTCTCCCAGAGCTTTCGGTGGGATGAGTCCCAAACCCTCTCCTAGTACAATTAGGGAGGGAGGGCTCTCGCCCTCCTGGGAGTCCCCTGCCCACTTTCCTCTCTCTCCTTGTCCCTCCGCCATTCCTCCTCCTGCAACCCCTGCACCTTGTGCTGCCTGTCTCCTGTACTCCTCAGCACTCCCTCTCCCCTATGCCCTTCCTCCTAGCCCCTAAGGCCACCCATTCCTGCTGCCCCAGCTGGTCCCTCCAGCAGTACAGGTAAAAGTAGGAGCGAGTGGCATATAAAAACCTTGATGATCTGTGCCTCAATCAGGGACACAATGTGCTTGCTGAAGCGCACGTTCTCCTCGGCCACGATGGTCAGGACATCTATGTGCTGCTTGCTGTTACAGCTCAGCTGCTCCAGCAGTGACTGGTAGGCTCGTTTTGCTTCTTTCCGGGCCTCGCTGCTCCCAGCGCTGCTCTCCGGGGCCACCATGCTGCTGTGAATGGGGCCTGCACCACAGGACGCAACCGACGGATCGAGAGCCTGCGATCCCCTCACACCGGGTGCACAACGGCAGCCTCCCCTCGCACCCAGTGAGTTTGTTGTGAGGATGGGGCCCGTCGCCTTGGAAACCGCATCCAGCTCCCTCACTGCGCCCTGATTGGCTGGCGACCCTCTGCTCAGCCCTGATTGGCTCATCCCTCCCAGCAGCAGCCTCTGGCTGCCTAGGACCATCTTCCTCTGCTTGGCTCCTGGGCTAAAGCCCCCTTCTTGCACCGCCTCCTGACTCTGCTTGCGTTTCCCTCACTTGGGACTCTGCGGCCTCAGCAGCGTTTGGCTTGGCTGCTGATGTGGGGATGTTGCCGTGTGCGGCTCTGCTCTGCCATCGCCACATGGTCAGCCGTGTTGGTGGACGTCAATGAACATGGGATGGATGTCAGTTCATATGGATGTCAGTGAATTCCTGTCCCCTTTGTTCCAGGCTATGTAAAGAGCTGTAAAAAGTTCATGTCATGGCACGCCAAGAGACATCCAGGCCTCCTGTACCTAAACACCGCTTGTGCTAAGGGGCCGTGGTAGAGCAGCTGTTCTCAAACAAGACTGGGAATGAGCTTCAGGAAGGGGCACACAGAAGGTGTGACAAAAGGGAGGGCTTTGAATCGGCGAGACAGGAGGCGGGACAAGGGGGAAGAGGCCAAAATAAGAGATGGGAGCGAGATCCAGCTGGGGGTCAGAGAGCCAGGGCTGGGCAGCAGGACAGAGATGGAAGGCACAAAGGGCCCTGGGCTGCAGGGCAGAGATGGAGCGGCCAATGCCAGCAAGGGCAAAGGGAGGGGGGATCCTGGAGGCACTGAGAGGCAGAAGAGGGTGAGCTGGCCCCAAGGGCCCAGCCCTCACCACAGCTCCCGCTCTCCGCCCTGTCCTGCCGGGGAAACTCTTGAGCCCAGGCCCTTCTTTCCCTGCCTGTCCGTGCTCTGCCCTTTCCTCCCGGGCAGGCTGCAGGGCGCAGGCCGGGCTGGGGCAGCTCGGGGGGCTCTGGCAGTCGGGGTGCCCGGTGCCTGTGCCCACAGCGGGGCTGTCTCCATCTCCGCAGGGGCTCGCTCGCCTCAGCGCTGGCCCCGGCCCTCCCCTGAGCTGGGCCGCAGCCCCAGCACCGACATGGCCGCCGGCAGCCCCTGCCCTGGCACTGCCGCTGCCAGCGGGCCCCGGGGCGCTCCTCCTGCTGCCAGGCCCTGCTGGGACAGCGGCCCCTGGGCACAGGGAGCAGGAAGAGGGGGTGGCCAAGGGCGGGAGAGGGGAGCCCGGGGAGGAGCAGGGCAGGAGCGAGCCGGAGAGGCTGAGGAGCAGCAGCGGGGGTCGGGGGGGGAGAGGGACAGAGCAGCGACGGCCTCCAGGGGGGAAGAGCCAGAGGGGCGTCGAGCAGGACGGAGTGCCGAGGGAAGCAGGGCCAGGCGAGGAGGGGCTGCATGGGGAGCAGGCGGGCAGGCTGCAGGACAGAGCTCTCTGCAGCCTCCTGAAGAGGGGACGTGGGGAGGGCGGTGCTGATCTCCCTGGGAGCCAGGGCAGGCTCACACTTGATGTGAGGAAGAGGGGCTTCAAACACTGGCACAAGCTTCCCGGTGTGCCAAGGCTGTGCGTGCTGGAGAGCCGTATGGACAATGCCAGTAAGGACTGTGTCCTTAAGGACGAGCTTGAACTTCTGGCCGGTGCTGAATTGGTCAGGCAGCTGCACTACAGGATTGCTGTAGGCCCCTTTCAACTGAGCTCTGCTCTGCTCTTCCATGGCCCCTGCTGGGGGCTGCCCCTCGAAAACCCCTGGCACCTCAAACCACCTGCACCTCGAGCCCCTTCCCCTCCCCAGAGCCTCAGCCCCAGCAAGCTTCCTGCTCTACCCCTGCACTCTGAAGCCCCCAGAAGTCCAAACCCCCCAAAACCTCTGCTGGGACCCCCAAAATACCTCATGGGACCCTTCAAAATTTCTTTTTCAGAGCTCTGCAGCCTGTGCTCAGAAATCTGAGTGCATCCCTGATATAAAGACTGAGTTTCAGGTGTTGCATTAGATCAAGCTCTGTGTTTTTTCTTACTGTAGGCTGGAATGTTTTGCTTGCCTGTGTCATGGCCAGTGTCTCAAAGAGGGAGAGACTCATAACCCCCAGATCTGCTTGGGTGTGAACGTCTTACTCTGCTCAGGAGTAGATAACTGATAGTCTATAGAGGGTTTATTATATGTCAATAAAGAGTTTTGTTTAATGGTTTACCCAGGAATTGCTATGTGAATTCTTTATAAAGGTCCAGCTTTGCACTGAAACATAGACCTCTGACTGCGAGGCTGTCAGAGTGCTTAGAAGAAAAGAGGTAGTCTGAGAGACAGAAAAAGAAAGCAAAGAGCAAAGATATTCAAATAGATACCACGCTACATTCAGATTAGGAAAGGCTATACTTTGCAAGCACTATGAAAGGCTTTCTTTCCTTTACAGTCCTTGCAGTCGTCTTACTGGTGCACAGCTCTCTGGCAGTCTACGTTCAGGTGAGTTTTCTGCTCTTTAGTTTGTTGGTGTTGCAAGTTCAATGAAGTACTGGTGCCATGTGAGGTGTTGTGGATGCAGCAGGAATCTTCAGTAATAGACCTGAAGTTTTGCTTTACTCTGGCTTGATATCCAACTTAATCTCCCTGTTGTTCTGTTTTTCTTTCTATGAAGTGCTTTGTGCATTACTAACATGGTGCAGTTTAACTTCACCAGCCTTATCACTGCTTTGAAATCCCTTGCTGACTGAGGCACTGTGTTTCTCTTGTACATAACCCATGTGTTGTGAAGCTGCTAGTCTGGGAACACCTCTAACTTTACAGAACGGTGTAAACAAGATGTGGCAAAAGCAATTGTCTTGTGTTGCCTGCTTCTCGGCAGGAAGTTCTTTATGAAACTCATCAGCTTATGAGATGAGACCTACACAAATATCATTAAAAAGGGTGAAAGAAATGCTTAGCTGAATCCACTGATCATTAAGAGATGCAGAGGGTCTAGCAATATAAAACATGGAGTAATACTTCCCAGAATACTGTCCCAGCCTCCTGAAGCTTTTGGTATGAGCTCTGAGTCAGAAGTGTCATATTTATGGTGCCAGTAATTTGTGTTCCATTAATCACGTGGACGAGTTTTAAATTAAAGAAAACTTGACACAGTACCTTGGGGTGTGTGATTTCAGCTCTTAACAATGTGCAGTGGGAAGGAATAGCTCTTTTTGCTTGGTTAGATCTTGCCACATGCCAGCCAATTCTTGAATTTCTCCACTGGTGTATTAGAAGAAAGAGTGAAGAAATTAAACTCCCATTTGCCTGCATTCAGCTCATGAGTTCATAAGTCTCTACCATGTATTGCCAAGCCATCTTTTCTAGCTGAAGATTACCAGCCTGTATCTTTCAACCCCAGGTTTTAAGGTGTCTCTCTTGGGAGTGAGAAATGCACCAAGTCTGCCACTATCCACATAATGCAAATTTTGACTGGCCAGCCAGGTCTCACTGCTGCTCTGAAAGGTCTTTGCCTTGAAGAGCTGATTATTTTGCTTTCAGTTAACGCTGATTTTATATAGACTTCGTTTCAACACTGTCTTTTTCTTATAGGCTAGTTTTCGGGAGAGCTCATTGTTGAAATGGTCTAGATTTGCCTAAGGCTGACATCCTGATGTCTTTTATTTCTGGTTCTGTCTACATAGGATGGAGACTTGAAATTCTCCCTTGAGTCTGTGAAGAAGCTGAAGGAGCTTATGAATGAGAACAGACACATTAACCCTCGCTTTGTGCTTTCAATGGCTAGCTACTCTCCATGTGATGAAGAAGATCTTCCTGAGGAATTCCAATCTGTGTGCAAAAGAGAAGATGCATCCATGATTTTTGAGAGGCTGAGTATGTTCCTCATATTGCATAGCTGCCATTTTTGTCACGATTTCAGCCTTAAACATTTGAGTAGCAGCAGGGAAGGAAACATGATTCTTGCTCTTGTCACTTCTAAAGCAGATGAGAGTGTCCATGCTGCCTTTCTATCCCTCCTATGATTGATGGCCAGCACTGGCTGTGAACACCCTGCAGTACAGTTCCTGATGTGCTGAGCTTAGCTGTAGCCTGTACGGATCAGGCTGCTGTAACCAGGAAAAAGCTTCCTCCAGGTGGCTGCATGCTAACTTGCACGATTTAAGTGGGAGAGCCCACTCTATCCTCTGGCTTACAGGAAAATCAGGGTTATATCACTCAGTTGTAGCAAACTACAAATTCCAAATGGGTCTAATTGCTCTCTCTAATCAGTGTAGAAGGTGTTCTTCCAGGTAGCCTAAAAGAGGTGTGAGATCTAAATGAGGTGGATCAGTCATGTACTGAGTTTTGAGCAGGCTGCTACAGTTTACTTCATTTTGTTGCTTTTATCTGCTGTCCAATACAATGGTCACTTTAGAAAATATAGTACTAGTGTAAGGAATGTTGTGATTCCACAAGCCACATCCCAATCATCCTCCCAATTATTCTCTTGCCTCCACATTTCCATTGTTTTCCCAATGAATTCAGGCTTGAGCTCATTCTTCAGGCCAGGTTTTTGCAAGAACTAATTTTACTTAAACCAGTAACAACTGCATAGAAAATTCAAACTCCTAAAACATTGATGGAAATGTTACTGCAAAAGGCGGTCAAAGAAACTCTCTAAGACTTGATGTGGAGTTCTAGAAAGCAGGCATTCTTTATTGCAGCACTGGGTGCGCACACAAATAGTTTGCAAAGGTGAGCGCCCTCACTCCGTGCCCGCAGTGGCTATGTATTTAGGATACTCATGCATATTTACAGGTTTTCTATGAAACTATTTACATATTCATGAAAGTCTTGCAAACTAATTATAATATTTGCATCCCAATTACGCATGCGCTTTCCTGCTGAGTGGGAGTCTCTGGTGGTTGCTGTTTGTCTTCCTCACTGTGTTCACTGAATGATCCTAGTGCTGAGTTAGAAAGCACTTTGTCCTTGCTTTTGTTCTCTTCCAGTCTCTGTTGTCTTGAAGGTTAGCATCCTTGGTCTTATTTACTGCCTCCTTAGTTGTTTTCACTCCCCCCATAAGCGAGACATTGCTTACTCCCTACATGCTAGCAAGTTAGAACAGTTTGCTATATTTTACTATGTTACTTTAAACCTATCATTTAAGCCTACAGAGAAGAGTCCTCAAATCCCTTGCTGTGTGGCTCTGCTTGCCAAGAAAGTCTCTTGCCATTTCCCTGAAACCCCCTCTTTTCTCTCTAACAGACCTGGCTGTCCAAGATCCTGATTTATGTGAAATCTGCGCCAATGCTGCCTGCGCTGGTTGCTTTTGAACAAAGATGAAACAGTTCAAAGAACATGTGTCAAAATGGGAAGTTTGTGCACTCCTATTGCAAATCCGTGTTTACACAAATCGATATTTGGTCTCCATCTCCACTACAGTCAAACTGGAGCTTCTAGCTCATGTAGACATACCAATGGCAGTCCTGAAGTAGTTAGACCAAGTGGCACCAGCAGTGCAGTTCTGGAAACAAGGAGCCTGGAAACCTCATCTGGGACATTTTGGTTCTGCGCGCCTTGTGTCACACTGGAACAAAAATGTCTTAGCACAGTTTCATTTTCCACTCTTTTGTCTGACTTGGCACATGATGGGTGAAACTGAGTAGTGTCCTGCAGCCTTTTTAAAAGCGAAATCTGCTTGTGATTTGGCCATCCCTACACATAACACCCAACAGCACCAAGATACCTTTTCCAGCCAATTCTGGCAAGTGTGTTGGATAACTATCTCACTGCCTGGAGGTCTGCATGTGGTTGTGTATGTTTCTAAGAAAGCAAGTAACCTGGGGACAAGTTATTGGTGTTTAGCAACATTTCCATAGCCAGAAAGTTCCCAGTCTGTTCCTAGTCACTAATTGTTGGAAATTTAGGAAATGAATGTACCGGAGGACAGGAGCGCTTTCTACGTAGCAGTATGGAAGCCCCATCTTTTGGCAGACAGTCAAGTTCACTCAGCTCTATTTAGCAGGCAGCAGTTCCAAACTGCTATGCTGGAATCACTTTGAAATTTAAACATTGCATTGTGTGTTTTATTTATTGGTGGCAAGACTGTGAAAAAAGCATCTTCCCATGTTTCTATGCTGTATGTGAAATAAAAGCTGGTAATAATGTGTGTGGTATTTTTATTATGGTTTTCCTGGGGTTTGTGGCATTTTATGTTAGGGTGAGGGACAGTGTGCTTGCCTACTTGCTCTTCTTCTAGAAAAGATATCCAGTACTAGTAGTTTCTTGAAAGGAAAAATACCGTTCCATGTGGAGCGTAACTGAAATAAACACTTCTTAGTAGCTGCATCCACCTAAAACAATCAAACAATTGCAGGGCTTGTTAAGTTAATCGAAAACAATTTCTTGATCTTTCCTGTGGAGCTAAAGACTTCATCTATTTCCTAACTCCATGAACAGTTTGCCATTTTAACAGCTTGAATTTGTTCTACAGAATTTGTAAGCAGTGCAGCTCATACATCTATACCCATGGACTGAGGAAAAGAAGATCGAATGTGCAATTGGTGTTTCAAGGAGATTTGAAGGTTTTATTGCACATCACCATACTCTGAAAACTTTCTTTCAACTATTTCACTAGCAAAAGTCTCATTTACTTGCCCAATTTCTGTGGGGGAGAAAAATGCAGTAACAAAACTATTGGAAGGCAACAGGGAAAGAGGCACAGCAACCGCTCTGGGCATTCCTTCCCAGTGCTCAGTCACCCTCGCAGTAAATTAGTTCTTCCCCAAGTTCAGGTGGCCCTTCCTGCCTTTGGGTTTATGCCCATCACCTCTCATTAAGAGCAAAACATTCAAGATATGGCAGCAGAGCAAGAAAACCCCACATGGAAAGCATGTATGTCCTACCAGGAACAAATGCTGCTGAGATCACAGAACTTTTCTGAAAGTGTGCATACCTGTTCAAACACGTGACGGAATATTAAAGGTAGGTTTTTAGCAAACATAGGCACATAGTCTCCTCCCACATTCTTCATAATTGAATCCATCAGGTATAGGACTGGGAATGAGCTTCAGGAAGGGGCACACAGAAGGTGTGGGACAGAAAGTGACAAGAGGTAGAAGAGACTGATGTCCCTTACCTTCTACACCACAGGGTGCTGCAGTTCCACCACTGCGGGCAGGGGACGGATGGAGGGCAACATCTGATCAGGTCTCAGCACCAGCTCTGGACATCCCAAGAGGCAAGAAGGGAAGGAGGGCTTTTTCATCTGATCTCCAAGCTTTCTTTTTATTCCCTCCAAATGATGGGATGAAATTGCAGGATTTTCAGAGCCAGATAGTCACCAGCTCTGTGCAGTTAAATAAGTGGGGAACTATCTTAGGGCTTCTCAAACACATCATAGAATCACAGAAAGGTCTGTGTTGGAAAGCACCTTAAGATCATCCAGTTCCAACCCCCTGCCATGGGCAGGGATGCTTCACACTAGACCAGGTTCCCCAATTCCCGTATGACCTTGCCTTGAACACTTGCAGAATGGGGCAGCCACAGCTTCTCTGGGCAACCTGTGCCAGTGCCTTAGCACTTATCTCAGGAGCTAGATGCCTAAATTCAGAGCTGACGTTTGAAAACAATATTAGGTGTATCAATTCCTGTTTCATTTGTCAAAAAAGGTATGTGTTTGCAGAAAATAATTCCTCACATCTGATATGTTGATACAAAACATCTGACAGCAAATGCTAAAGGAGAATCTCACGCTAAGGCTCTTTCTGCTGCCTCAAAATCGGCATCTCTGGGAAAATGGATTTCCTGAATCAAAAGAGGAAACTTGGGCTTGTTTGAACCCTAAAGTTATTGCTCTGCATATAGAAATGTGGCTTAATATTTTCTCTTAAAACTAACTTGTCAAATCCCTAAATCTAGGCACAACAGCTTGGAGTGGCTCAGAGAGGACTGGTTATGCATTTTGCAAGGAAGACCCGCTGGCAATAAGAACCAAGGTGTGCGTGCTGGAATGGAGAACCTCATGAGTGTTTTCCCATGAGTCCTCTGCCCCTTTTTATACACCACAGATGAATCATCGTCTAGTGTATAGAGCAGTGTCTTGGCACACAGAACATGGGGGTTAAAGGAGGGTAATGAACCTCTGTTTTGCACTTGCTGGATGAGAATTTTTTAGCAATTGGGGATTATACAGAATGAGCATTATGTCTCTGGGGAGGGGAAGGGGTGCACACAATCAAATAAACACACCGAGAAAGCCAGGAAACAATTGGCAGCAGTGGAGTTCATGTTTGTAGCAGGCAGTGAAAAGCCCACTGGAGAACCCAGATTTTGAGAATGGTGCTCTGCAGCAGTCTCTGGGAACCGGAGCTGTAGGCATGGCATGCTCGGAGCAGAACAAATATCTCATCAGGCTGGGTTACCAGCTCCTCCACTGACCCACTGTCACCTGCACACAATCTGAGAAATATCCTGCAGGCTTCATGCATATGCAGAAACCCTAAACTGACTTGCTGAGCTGCTAATACTGTGTACTAGTACAGTGTACTAGTTGACGTACTGGTCCATAGAGTTGTGTATTGACTAGTAGGATGTTCTTGCTTTAGGAAAAGATTTCTTTGCCCTATGAAGTAACCCCCATGGCAAATGTTAAGTGTTCCTCCACACAGCTGCTGTCTCCTCCTGTGACCCTGTACTCACCAGCATCTGCTTCTTGGCCCGTATACTAAACATACACATGAGAGAGTGAATGAAGGAAAACCAAGGTAGGTCTGAAAGAAATATCCTCTAGTTTTCATTGCCTTTGTTGACAAGAAAGAAGCCAAAGTCTTCAGCTAGTCACAGCCTTTTGCTCAGAAGAAGTAAGCTGCTGGCTCAACTCATTTATTTCACCTAATTGCACCTTTTGAGGGTAGAACCATCCTAAATCATACAATTATTTAGCTTAGAAAAGACCTTTGAAATCATGAAGTCCAACTATTAAACCAGCACTGCCAAGTCCACCACTAAACCACGTCCCCAAGCACCCCATCTACATGTCTTTGAAACACCTCCAGGGATGGTGACTCCACCGCTTCCCTGGGCAGCCTGTTGAAGCATTTGACCACACTTTCAGTGAAGAAGTATGCAATTTAAACCTCCCCTGCTCATTTCTTCTTGTCCTATCACTTGTTACCTCTTTTCAGTTGTAGAATGCAAGAAGGTCTCCTCTGGCATCCTCAGGTAAGATTAGCAAGTTTTTTTGCCTGTTTTTCCTCCCATGGCCTCATCTCAGTGTGTTCGAGGGCAATCAAACTTTGGCTGTTTGCTGATGCATGTGTACAAAGCACTGCCAATACCCAGTGAGCAGGTATCTGTATAAACATCCTGCTTCCCTAGACAGCTCCACTCTGTGTCCTGAGCCATAGGAGACACTCATTAACAACCTTTGTGGCAGAAGAGTCTGGACATGAGAAGTACCATGTATCCATACCTAGGTGGAAGCTTAAAGATGGCTGAGAGCCCTGGCTGGGAACTTTGTAGATCAGCATAACAGACTGAATTTCAGCATGACTGCTTGGCCTGAAACCTGGGAAAAGTGACAAGTGCTAAGCAAATATTACATAAGATCACCCTAATCTGTTGTTCAACATAAACCCCCCCAGTGTCTATCCCAGCATGCCGTGCTGTGGTATGAAATACCCCTTTGGCTAGTTTGGGCCAGGCGTCCTGTCTCTGCACCCTCCCAGCTTCTTGTGCTCCTCCTCACTGGCAGAGCACAAGAGGCTGAAAAGTCCTAGATCAGGGTAATTGCTACTGACCAACAACTAACCTATCAGTGTATTATTGACATTATTCTCAGACTAAAGGCAAAATACTGCACTATGCCAGCTACTAGGAAGAAAAATAAGTCCACACCAGCTGAAATCAGAACAAGCTGGTACCTACTCTGAATACACATTGCCAAAGAAAAACAGCCGCTCTGGCTTCTTTAGCCAAAAACTTTTCACTGGCTAACCTGCCATTTTAACCATTGGAAAGTTGGACTGCAGGCTGTGCCTTGAGCTAAAAGTTCTTCATATTTGTGAACAGAGATAAAGGAATACTTCCCTCCTTCATTGTCACTCCACTCTACTTCTTTTCACTGTATCGTAGTATTTTTCCAGGAAGATGCAAGCAAAGCTATGAAATTGTTGCTAGATAAACACACCAAGTAAATTCCTATGATGAGCAAGCAGCAATAAAGCAGTCATAAAAAGACTTCCTCATACGTAAACTCAGAAGAGAGTAAAACAATCAGTCAGTGTGAAAAATATTCTAACTGTCCATGCTTGTATTTTATTCTTTGCTCATTTTATGTGGAAGGATTTGATAGAGGTGTTTTGTGTCATGGGCAACATGCACTGCAAATGGTGAGGAATCTGCAATAAAGTACCAAGGGATGGTAAAAGAGTCCAGTATAACATTGCCCGTTGCTGCTGGCCCCTGGGAAACATGGAAGCTTTTCTTAGTGAATACTTCCCTAGTAATTTCTCATACCATGAGCCCATGGGTGGAAGACAGATGTGATCTTGGAAGGCTGTGGTCTTAAAAGAATGATTGTAGTTAAGTTTGTGACTGTAATGATCGTGATTAAGTTAATGATTTTGGTGCCTCCCTAGCCTTGAGGAATACATGCGTCATGATCCTATATTGCTGTATGTAGCAAGTACACGCACAACATGTATCGAGACAGCAAAGGACAGAATAAGGCAAGAAATCTTGTAGGAGTGCTGTGAACAGATCCTACAAAGAATCTGTACGAGATTTCCATGCTGCTTCATGCTGTCTGTCTCCCAGTCTACCAGGGTCACTGGCATCTTCCCCACGGTGCTAAACTCCTTAAAACCTAACAAGATTCCCTGCCTGTCAGTGCTGCCATGGGAAGAGTTGGCAGAGTTTAATCATTATCATGATGAAAGTGGGTGAATCAGAAGGACCCATGATTTAACCATAAATCACGCTTTGCTGCCCGTGTCACTAAGGAAGAGTTTTTACTAACTTAAAATGAAGTTTTTGCTGAGGAAATAA